AAATCAATGTCCATTCATTTTCATTAACACTGAAATGTGTCCTGATTTAAAATACTATTCTTTCATGTGATACAACCAAAGGAATACTAAACACAGCAGAATTCATGTTGAATATCCGTAACATGAGAACTGGACACGTAGAGAAACCACTGGAATTGTATTTTTTCAATCTTTAAATGCAGCTGTCTACATATAAATTTGAGTAAGAGTGTAGCTTTAAGATCACGATGTGTTATGTCAGCTATCACCAAGAATAATTCCTGGTCTGATGTTTTTTCCTGTGTTTCTTTTTTCTGAAGTACTTTCTTCCTCATTGGAAAAACCTTCCTGAAACTTCTTGCTTGTGGCAAATTTCAGCCCCTGACTGTAGTTACTTTTCCTGGGACGACTTCATCGTAATTTATTACCACTAGCCCAGACCTTTAAAAAAATTTAAAAATACTGCTTGCAATAACTAGGAGCGTGTTAATTTTTTTCTTTTTCACATGTAACTCCCATGTAAAGCATTGAATAATACTTAAGCTGGCTGCATCTTTAAATAAAACAGATTTTTAAAATTTAATTTGGGTTTGTAACTGATGGGAAGAAAACCCAACCAGAATTTGAGAATAAAAATATTCCAGCTAGATTAGTTCAAGCATTCTTGGACTAACAAACCGTGATTGAATGTTGTTTTCAGATATACTTGAGACTGTAATTGCGGCGTTACACAAAATTGTTTGGAAAAATGGTTAAGGGCCCTGGAGACGGGGCCTGATTTCTTTCTTCCTTTCATGTTGATATAAATCTAGTTAAGTTAAGAAAAGACTATAAGGGGATGCATGGTTCTCAAGTTCAGTGTGAAGGCTGCTGCAGAAGGGTTTGAAACAAAAAAATTAGTACAGGACAAAATACTCTTAAGTACAGAATTGAAAATAAAAGCATGAATGTGTGGTGGTTTGGGTTTTTTTTTAAGGAATAGGAGGAGAGGCAGTAATTACAGCAAGTTAATGAAAGAAGAAATAGATATTTTGTCAAAATACAGTATGGTGAAACTAGATTCAGGTCTCCCAGGGTAGCTACTAGCATAAAAATAGTAACAAAAAGAAGATGTTGTTTCTCAACTCCCCCAAAAGTTTTCATTTTGTCAGCTTTTATTAGAAGTGATTACGTCCTTTCCTCTTTAAATGTGCTCTTGACCTGCTGATTCTGTAGAACCAGTCAGTTAAATTTCCTTAAATATGCAAATGTTTCACACTTGAACTGAAATGTGAACCGATATCCTGAAGGCCCAGCTCATTCCCAGCTTCATCATGGATTTTTGTAATACTTAGACTAATTACTACACTGTTAAACAAATGAAGACTACCCACCTGACTGTTTCCACTTAGTTTTTCATTGGTCAAGGTTTTGCATGTAAATAACCTCAGCCACTCCCATAAAAGTTAACTTTATCTGTTGGATGGAGGTCTTGATATCAGGTAAAAATCTCCATTTATATTTGTGGGTGGATGGACCTAGATTCACAATTTGCTAATAATGTACAGCGACAGCCTTGATTATAACATGGGTTATTCCACTTTACGCTTCAATAAACAGAACAATGTTTACTGGTCATTACGAAAACCACTCACTTTTAATGTCTAGTTTGGTGCTATTAGGTGCCTATATGATTTCAGCCCAGGTTCTTTTTTACTAGTTTCAGCTTGAGAGTGGAGGAGGGAAGGACCGTGGTAAATTCCTTTTTCATTTTCAGTCTCGGACAGAAAGCTATGTTTAGATTTAACTTTGAGACTAAACTCAGCCTTTCTCCAGGAATTGGTTCTTCTAGGCACAATGACAACACCATTGACAGTTGTTTTAATACATCTACTTGATTTTCTTGTTTGTTTGTCTGTTTTAAATAAATAAGGAATTTCTCTGTGGTGTTCTTAATGAGACATCTTACTGTGTTCTGAAATTCAACTCTAAAATCAATCTGGGGGCAGGACAGACGAATCTGTTTGCTCAGCAACTTGTCCTTTTATGTTACGGAGTTGTATTATTTCAGTGACTTCAGTAGAAGACCTGCATACAGTTCCAATGAACAGCCAGCAGTGTGCATCCTGGTGAGATGGCTACAGGATTGCGAAGACCAGCAGGGCTCAAATATGGGGAGCATGCCTTCAGATTACTGAGGATTTCCCTTTTCAGGCTGTGTTGATATTAGGAAATAGGCAGTCTTTTTATTTCAAGCTATCGGAATGGCAGCTTAGTAAACGTGAATTGGTTCACTCTTACTTTCCAACAGGGAGAAACATACTCCATTCCAAAAGGGATTTCTATATGTTACCAAACTTGATAAGCAATCTTATCTGTAGACAGGGAAATTTGCACGCCTTATATTGATGCATTTTAAGAAGATACAGTTGAAATTCCATGCAGATACTGCCACCTCTTTCTCAGTATTGCCATAATTTTGAAAAATGTGTATGTATGTGTGTGTGTGTATATATATATATATGTATATCAAACAAGAAAGTGATAATGCTGCAAAAACAAGCATTCAGAAGTAGGGAAATACAAAATCAAGCAGATCCACTTTACTCTCTTCTGCTTCGTTATGTTTAATTACATTAGTACACGATTTTTAAAAAAAATTAGTGGGCTTCGCAGAGGACATAGTATATACTGTTCTCTGAATCAATTACTGTTTCATATTTTACATGGGCTCAGCATGTGTCCTGCTACTGTATTTTATGCATTCTTTTTGGACTCATCTTTAAACACAATTAATATATTTGGGCCTTATTTCACTCATTACTGTAATATCTCAGAAGGAAGTATTGAGACACAAAGCATGAGAACAATTAACCAGTAAATTCTTTCCATTTGAACACTGACAAATTCTGTTCAGTAAGTTCTGTTGGTTTTTGGTTGGTTGGTTGTTTTTTCGGTTTTGGTTTTTTTTTTTTGTGAGAGTGTTATTTAGCACTCTGTTCAGAACAGAGCTCCCCCAGGATCTGATATGCAGTTGGGTGTTAAACAGAAGTGAATTAGGTCTAAGTTATGCTAAAAACTGGACTTTTAGAAAAGAATGCACATAATTATAGGAGAGCTGTGTGATAGAGGTAGAAAGGGGCTGCTTTTCAATACTCTTTACACGTCATAATATGAGCTTTTTCTTTCTGCAGTCTCATGACTCATTTCTGTGCACCTTCCAACTTCTGCTTAAAAATAAAAAAAATAAAGTCAGAGCACTCTCTTCCCATGGAACTGTACTGACCCCATTGCAAATCGCCGGCTTCTCTGACTTCTTACTCTCCTGGTGTCAGCTCCGGTGTGAGCCAGCAGGCACTAGATGACTTGCAGTTAGCGAGTAGGAGAAGAAAAGCAGAGAGACCTGGAACGTGGAAAAGAAAGCCAGGACTCCCCGTGCATGGTTGAGTGGTTGCGGATTTCTTACACAGATCACACACTCTTTGTTTTTACTCTCATGGTTTGTTTCTGTTCTTTTCCTCCTTAGTCTTTTGCATTCCAGTCTGATTGCTTTCTTTATATTCATGTGCCTGGATACCAGTGGCAAATGCACATAGAAACTGTTAACTTGCTTTTTGTCCTGGTGCCTGGGGGCCAGTGGTCCAAGAAAAGCAAACGGCAGAGCAGGCGGTACTGAGCGCTGGGATGGTGTTCCCTTGGTCCCTTTGCAGCCGCTGCATATAAGCTATGGGAAAATACTGCACATTCACTGTAGATTAAGTGTTGAAGGAATTGACTTGCCAAGCTGTTATATTAACATATTGAGGAGTTACTGTCTTTTTTTTTTTCTTCCCAATTGTCTTCTTTTAGGCATTCTGTGGGGGTTTTTTTTAAAAAAAAACAACAAACAAACTGCTTCCCCCCTCACCCCACATCACTAGTGCTCTTGCAAAACATCAGGTCTTCACTCCAAATCCTAGAGTTAGCTGACCCCCTAAATCCCATGGTTATGAAACAAAGTTAACTGAAGTAAAATCAAATTTGTACCAGACTTCTTCTCAGAAACAATTGCACTTCATAAAAGAAGAATGGTTTGAGTCAGACCAATGGTTGAAATTTGGTAAAATAACCAGCAATTGAAAATTGACAGTAATAAGTATTGTTAACAGTGTCCTTGAAGGATACATTTCTACAGAAATAGAAGTCTTTGTATTGTGTCCTTTGTCTAGGAAGTTATCCTCTGTATAGCTACTTTCCCTTTTTTTAAAAAAGGTTTGCAAAGTAGGAGTTTGGTCCCTATACAGCCAGTGAATGATATACGGAGTAGCAAAATTTTAGATTACTGCTCCACTTTCAGTGTAGAGGTGGTTGGGGAACTGCTTCAGACAAGAGAGGAGACAACAAAACTAGTAGCTAAACAACAGCAGTTTTCACAAAATGCTCAAACCTTTGGTTTTGTACATGTTTAACTTTTCCAGGTTTATGTGCCACTCTGATCTGCTGAATACCACAAATGTACTGTTAAATGTCACTGATATAGTCTTACCCTCTCCAAGTTCGTGTACCTTACTCTGAGGAGAGGTGCTCATAGCATCAGGAGGTCTGTATAATCTCTCGAGACCACTGTGACCAAGGCTCCTGCTGCAGTTTTCTGAAACCAGGTTTTCTTACCCATCCTGGTCCCCTACTCCTCTGCCATAGCTCACCAGGCTCAGGACTGGGTCTTTGTAAGCACTGGTGGGTCTGTTCTATCAACCCAAGCAGGATCATCAAGGACTCATACAGCATAAAACGTTGAATTCTGCAGTGAAGGGGAAAAGGGTTGGTGGCACTGGGTGCTCTTAATTTGCTTTTCAGATGTCCAAAAAAGGACAACTCAAGCTGAATGGGGTGAATTGTCTTCTATGGGTGTTCATTTTAGAAGCTGAGGCTTAATATTTTAAAGCTCTTTACTAGATGAAATGAATTTTGTGAAAACTTAATACGTAATGTAATAAAGAATTTTAAATTAAATTGGTTACTTGGTACTAATTTAACTTCTATTAAAATTATTTGAACGAACTATGTTCCAGGCAGAGCAAGCTACATCAGAGGTTTTATCTCCATTACAGATGAGCGAGTGTGGTAATTTTTCTTCCCCTAAAAAATTAGGTGGTGGAATTGGATTGCTTATAACTGACTACATTTAGAACATGAAGATTTTCAATGGGGCAATGCTTAAATAATATCTTAACTTTTTTTAACTACATTTTTTTAAAGCTGCATCGGGGCTTTCTAATTTCATGAGTAATAATATAAAACCCCTCTTGCTTTGATCCTCACAAGGGAGAACTAAATTGGTTTCAAAGATCAGTACTGTTTACTCAGACTTCTGTTGTTTTAATTTGTACTGATAGTGTTGATGACCATTTAAAAAATAGCACTAAGATATTAATAAAAAAAGCTCTTAGGCCCATTATTTTCTTTACATCAGCTGGAGCTAAAGTAGATCACACAGGTGCTTTTATATCTTGAAGTTATAATTAAAGGTGTTCTTCACTATGCAGAATATTAGGTTTAGATGGTACAGTAGAGACTTTTACAGTTATGTAGAAATCCTTTTTATAAAACTGATACTCTGCTTCGTTTCTGAGCACTTCTAGTTTGGTACTGCGTTCTTTGGTGCAACAAACTTTCTACCTGAAAGGGTTGAGGTGGGGAAGTTGTTCAGGCAGGAAGCAGGAGTGTTAAAAATGAGGGTGAGGAAAGGTTAGGTGTTTGGTATCTGAAGTTATTGTTACAAGAACTTTTCTGTACTGGGAAGGAAATGCATCTTTTTCGTAGTTTGAACTTTGAGGATACAACTTCACACTTTTCCTTTCCTCCTTCTTTACTTTTGGTTTTGGCAAAAGCCAGATGTTCTCACATTCATGTCACACTGCACTAAGCCATCTCTTCATCAAAAAAAGGAGTGCTGGTCCTCCTGAATTGATCAGCACTGACATAATTAGCACTGATGCTTTAACTAAGATACAGTGTCTACATGGCTGATCTTTTTTTTTTTTTTTTTTTTTTTTTTTTTTTTTTTTTTATTGTCTACAGATTCATGGCATCATCATGAGATTCTATTAGTTCATGGCTTTAAACCATTAGTTCATGTTTTTAAAATTTTCTTCACAGCCATGAAGTCTAAATATGTTTTTTAAAGTAAGCACCTTACATTACATTTTCTGGAAGTAGGAAAGCTCTATCTCCCTTAGAGCTTTGAGTCCATATCAACATCCTGAATTCAGTGTGAGGCAAATGGGCATCAAGTGAAAGAAAAATATATCATAAAATAAAACGTAAAACACTACTTTTGCATTTCAAAGAATTTCTGTTAGGAAAAAAAATCTATAAACTTAACACTTATTCTTTATTATGTATTATTATTAGGAAAATAGTTTTATGGGATATTTAGCATTGAGAAAAATGATCTGAGAAAAGGCTTCCTGCATGAATCCATATCCAGAATCACTGCCAGAGCTAAGATGAAAATTCAGATGTTTCTGGCTTTAGGCTAACAGCACATTGCTTTGTAAAATGAATTAATTTAGTTTGCTTTCCTTTCATCTTTGCAAATAGATACTTCTGCCAAAAATATTCCCCATTGTTCAAGTTTAGTGTAAACAAGACATCAGCTGATTACATGTATCTTAAATGCTGTGTTGTTTAAGCTTTGGCAGCCTATATTTTCATGAGGTGTCTGATAAGCTTACAGCTGTTGACATTATGTGCACTTTCTTGTAGCTGCTCCATCAGTGTTGGATCAATAGGGTAAAGAATTTACGAAAACAAGCTAACCAAAATGAAAGCCTGCCCAATGAAATAAGATGCTTGCTGTTTTCTTCAGTATTAAGTTTTACAGTTGTCTAGGAATTCAGAAGACAGGTTTGTAGAATTCACTAGACCTTTAAGTCTGTTCTTTCTCACTAAATACAAATATTTGGTGTGAGTATAAATAAACACATATGTGAGCAACTTTTCTACATGTAACAGAAACATTAGCAGGTTGAAGGATAAATGTCTCAAGGATCAAGTTTAATAAAATTTGGGCCAACTGTGAGCTCCCATAATTTTTCCATTAGAACCTCAGAAAACTTAAACTTTGAAAGATTTGCATGTACTGTAGGGAAGAAAGCTAATATAAAACTTCTCTTTTGCCTCGTCTTTTTTTTCATTCCATTTCATGGTTTTGAAGGAGTCCATTAATACTAGCAATATATGAATGAACAAAAGAATAAATGTGCCTGTTGAAGTACAGTAAAAGAAGAAATTCTAAATTAAGGCACCTGACCATGCATTGTTTATATTGTTACAAGGGAAGGTTATTCTGATGACAGTAACTTTGAGATTGAAATAGATTCTGTTAAACAGTTCGTCTCCTAATAGCTAAGCACTCTGTTGAGAGAAGTTGGCTTGAAAATGCAGAGATGTGAAATGTTTTTTGACTTGTGTAAACCTCAAATGAAATTATTGGAGTTTTGTTAGTGTTTTGCAATTTATACGTGCAACACTTGCCCTTCAGCAAAAGAAGGTAAAACACTTAGGTTTTTTCATCAGAAGAAGCCTTGAAGTACTTTTTTTTTTTTTTTTTTTTTTTTTTTTTTTTAATGAAGGAATAATTCATAGAAGTAAATTATTCAATTTGTTTGGTGCTGGTGTACATGATGGGTAATTATTTGATTAAATTATTGTGCCTGTGCCCCACCCCACCCTCTTTGGCAGTATCTTTAGCATTTTCTCAATCATCTCCTGCTTCTCAGCACAGAAGCAGCTGGTGTTATTGTCATTATTCTTTTTTTTAATTTCCTTAGACAAGTATGAATCGTTACGGCATAAAAAGGCAGATTAGTGAGAGATTCATGGAAGCATTTTATATCCTCTGTTGCTGAACCATTACTTGTGTGGCAGCTCAGCCAGAGTCTTTTCTGTGGATAGCAAAGGTCGTATAATAGAGCACCTTTCAGAAAACTAGTGGCCAGCATGTTCTCTCCCCAGTGCAGGAATGACACATGCTATTAGACATCTGTCCTGAAGCACCAAAGTTGGCAGAATTTGAATAATACAGTCTGTACTTGTTATATAGGCGAAGTTGATAAAGCTGTGAGTTCATTAGTGCAGAAAGAAATCTGTTGACAGGCAAGTGTTGTTGGATGGGAAGGCTGGCCTAGTAATGGGAGAGAGATGAAATCATTGTAAGAGTCCATACCTGTAACGTACTCTAAAACTGAACGTTTTCTGTTAATATATTAAGTATTCTGTGTCAGTTTGAGCAGTATGTTTTTATATATTTTATCCATTTTCAGCAGAATATTAGATGCTCTGAAACTTTAGGGTTTTTCACTTTTTTTTTTTCCCTCTTTTTTTTTCTTAAAACATAGGAATATTCTGAGGACAGCAATTCTGAACCAAATGTGGATCTGGAAAATCAATACTACAATTCCAAAGCTTTGAAGGAAGATGATCCCAAAGCGGCGTTAAGCAGTTTTCAGAAGGTTTTCTGTCTTTATATTCTATCTCTCATTTTTATATTAATTCACATTTTAAAATATTTACTTACCATTTGAGTTACTTTCTGGAATTTTAAGAGTAATGTTTATATTTTAACTTACTAATGTGCTAAGTTTATCATTGGACAGCTAAGACTCCTGGCTGACTGCCTTTCAGGATCATTCTTAGGGAGCATAAATAGGACATGGAATTGTTCTATGTTATTGCAGAACTGAGTTTGAATCTTCAGAATTTACTAAATGAATTAAACAGTCCTAAGTGTGTTTTCATATGTCAAGTATAGAAGCCAGATCCATTCATTTTTTTAAAATGAAATTGCATTTTCCCCTGTGTCTTACGTGTAATGTATTATATTTGGTTTGCTATCTCATTGCAAAGTTTTAAATGTATAAATGCTAAGTGACAGAGAGTTTCTTTCCTTCGTGTCAGTTTTAAATTTTTAATGTTTGCACACTGCCACCAGAAAGCAATATGTTAGATGCAACTTTTTAAAGAAAAAAGATATTTTTGCATCTCTTGGCTTATTGATGTTTACTAGTATTATATACATGACTTTTTAAAAATTTCTGAAATTTTTATTTACAAAACATACCCTTGGCTATGTTACATTAAAGCCTAGAAGCCTTTCTGATATGTGAAGAAACCATAGTAATCCAGAAGTGTGAATTTTTGACTAATTTAGTCAAGGGGTGGGTTGAGTCAGCTTTGCAGGGGGGTGTTACAACGTTTTTGTGTATATGTATTTATGAAGTGGCGTTAAAGTTTAGTGCTTGGTGTTAGACCAACAACAAAATCTTCAAGTAACAATTCACCCTCCCTACATCAGCTAAGTTGTGAAAACTAATGAGATACCCCTCAGTAATACCAGGGAAGCATAAAATTGAAGAACAGGGCAGAGTGAAGCATTACTTTGTAAGGAACAAAGCGGGGGGAAAAAGGCATGTATGGGATGTGTACATTTTAAAGAAGATGCAAATCAGTTTAAGTTTGATTAAAGCTTTTATAAATACTGTTTAAAAAATTCTTCTTTTTCAGGTTTTGGAGCTCGAAGGTGAAAAAGGAGAATGGGGATTCAAAGCTCTGAAACAGATGATTAAAATAAACTTTAAATTGGTAGGAATTACAGCTATCACTTAAGAGTAAATGGCATAAATGTGTGTTTGATCCAGAGATCTTAAGTTATTATTCTGATTTATGGCTATGACAACTAAATCTGCCAGAACTTGTCTTTTGCGGCCTTTAATGGCTGCTACAGACGTGGCAGGAAATGACGTGGTGGTTGGAAGTCAAAGGCAAACTGGATGCAAAATAGCTGTTGTAGTCAACTGATACTCCCTGAAAGTTTGAGGCTCAGCCCTTGCTATCCTGAGGTATCATATCATTGAAACTGGTGATGTTTCTATATGTGTGTACTTCAGAACAAATCATTGAAAAATTTGTATGCTACATATGCAACCATTCCAAAGAGTTGTATAGCCAACTCTGTTTTCTTTGTCGAGGTAAATACTTCCAATAATTAAAAATTGTAACGTAATTTTGTTGTTCTTTTAGACTAACTTTCCTGAAATGATGAACAGATATAAACAGCTATTGACCTACATACGGAGTGCAGTTACAAGGAATTACTCTGAAAAATCCATCAATTCTATTCTTGATTATATCTCTACTTCCAAGCAGGTTAGATCATCAATTCTTTCATGTTCGTGGTGTTCCTTTTTGCATTTTTAACTGTGGACTTTTTTGTGTGTGGTAGTCTGTTAGTTTGGGGTTTTTTGATCTTTAGAGAGAACATTTGCAGTATTAATTCTTTGTTGTATGTTAAAATATATTTCCCACACTTAATGGATTCTATCAACATAGATAACTTTTCATAAGTTTGTCTTTTTGGCAATATTTACCTAGGATTTCTATGCTCATAAGTAAGTAGATACCTTTTTTTTTTGCCTAGTAGCTACACACTGTAAGTGCCCTCTCAAATATAATTTGTAATTAAACAATACTTTTTATTTACTTTGGGGGGAGAGGAGAACCTTTGAAAAACTTTGCAGTGACAACACCAACACTTTGTTGGTGTTAAATACTGCCTGTCTTTGAGTGTACTGTTGCAAGCTAGGTACATGCTCACAGATCCAGAGCCCAGCTCCTTTCCTTTTGTGGTGTTGTAGAAGCTTTACGGAGAGTAGAATGCTCCCCTGGCTACCTGGAAGTAACACCTGCATATGGAGGATCACTGGTCTTTAGTGATGACTCCTCTGTCATTATCACAATCCTTCCTGTCTTGCCACTCATAGGAAATGAAAGTTGAATAGTTGAATGATGGTTTAGTCTTTAGGTCTAAAGGATTGTCTTAGACTACACCTCATTGGCAGAGGTCGGTGTGTTTGGTCTAAATAGAGTTGGGAATCAGACCTGGAGGGACAACTGAGAAATCTTAATTTGATGTATAGCACAGATCTGTTATCCCCAAAAGAACAACAGCCACAAACAATGCATTCTCTGGAGAACCTTTGTTAAAGGTCATACTCAGCACTTTTGATTTCCATTTTGGATGTTGTGTTTTTGGGTTTTATGCAAAGAAACGGTTTGATGTGTTCAGAGCTTTCTTTCACACAGCACTGCTAGTATAGAAAGGAGAAAGCATCTTTGTAAATCATATTTTCTTTTTGATATGTAAATTATTTTTGTTTTTCTTCTTTTAAGTAGGAGCAATGTTGCCTGTGTTTGCCTTTTGTTACACAACATAAGAATTTTATTACTTGGTTATATAAGATGGGCTTCTATAAGGTGGCTTTCATTTTTCACTACCATGATAGATGGTTGCAAATCTTAAAATGTGAATACTTTTTAATTAATCCATTTCATGTAAGAAAAACAAGCGTACTTTTGTTACTTTAGAAGCTCTTTGCAGTTTAAAAGCAGACATTCAGTAAGATGCACATACCTTTCTTATTTTGAAGTTCAAGCATGCACTTTTAGTTTGTTCAGGTTGACTTTATTAACAGGTACAAATTTGCTGTTTACAATTATAGAATTCTGATTTTTTATGTCAGATGGATTTGCTTCAGGAATTCTACGAAACAACACTTGAAGCTCTGAAAGATGCTAAGAATGATAGATTGTGGTTTAAGACAAACACAAAGGTAAAATATATGACAATTTTTTGCTTTTGTTTGTGAAACCTTCAGCTAACTCTTATAATTATGAAATCTTAATAGACCTTAGCACTTTCACTTCTCTTTCATTACAGCTTGGCAAATTATATTTAGAACGAGAAGAATATGGAAAGTTACAAAAGATTCTGCGTCAGCTGCATCAGTCATGCCAGGTACCTTTATATTCTAAATCACTGTAGCTTAGTAAACAACACTGATTTTTTTATTTTTTTTTTTTTTAACATCTGTGGTTGGCCTTTGAGGCATGTTGCTGATCTTTAGTGCAGAGGGAAGAAGTACTGTGCCTGCTTTAATTTGTTACCTATTTGATAACATGAACAAAAAATGTTTTATTCCTTGCTTAAAGATGCCTTTAATAAAATTATTTACAACTGCTGATTAAATTTCCTTTTAGTCAGGTGCAAGGATGAGAAGCATATGAATAATCTATAATGCATAGACATTTATTTTAAAACATAGTGAAGATTCCAAGTGAGCTTTACTCAAAATTGAAAGTACAGCTGTTACTTTCCCATCTGGAAGGGAAAAAAAACCCAGTCATGCAGCCTGCTGTGCTTGTTTATGTCCCCTTTTCTTCCACCAGCATGGAAAATGGGTTACAGATATCTGGGAAATGGTTCTGTTATAGGCAGTAGAAGAATTGTATGTGTTATCTCTATATATGCCTGTGTGTCAGTCACTGCATTTATACACTGAGAGTGTGGTTCAAGGAAAGTGGTAAAGAATAAAAGGCGAAGTTCTGAGGAAAACATTTAATTAAACAAAAATACTCAAACTTGGCCTGTGATATGTTTTGTGTTAATAGTTATATAAAAATTTTAAAGTTTTAGGAATATCCTTATTTCTGACAGGAAATTACTGAGAGTATTTGGTAATCAGTTTTTTACTAGTATAAAACTGAAATTGCTGTTCTCTTAAAATTTCACAGTATTTATTACTTAATCTGTCCTAGACTGATGATGGGGAAGATGACCTAAAAAAGGGTACTCAACTATTGGAAATATATGCTTTGGAAATTCAAATGTATACAGCACAGAAAAATAACAAAAAACTTAAAGCGCTATATGAACAGTCGTTGCACATCAAGTCAGCCATTCCTCATCCACTGATCATGGGCGTTATCAGAGGCAAGTTAATCTTCAATTTTTCATTTAACTTCTGTTGCGTAGATTAGTTTTATGAAAATCTGATAATTAATGTTTTTTCCAGTTCCAACTGTAAAGACAGAGGATCCTGTCAATTCGGAGGCAGACAAACCATGTGTGAATAAAGGGCTACAAATGCAGTGGCTACAGTCTCATCGTTTAATCTTTGCCTCCTGTAGGACTTTATCTCTGCTGTTCTGGTGCCTCGGTACCAGATGCACTGGTCAGAAGGGCAGGACAGTTGTCTACATAGAGGGTAGGAGAGAAGCAACAGAATAACAAGAGGAAGACTCTCAGCTGTTTTGACGCCAAAGCAGGCAGCAAAGGATAAACGCAAAGGCATTTACAAATGATAAAAACAAAGGCTTGACAGGACTGCTAGTGGAAGGGAAGGGACTGCTATTTCTGCAATCCCCTTTTGTAAATTTGTGCTTGATGTCTCACCTCACTAAAATTCATCAGGAGCTGAATGGCTTTAAGATGTGTTTGAAAAGATTATTTATTATCTGTAAAGATGAATTGTAGTGGAAACATGCTGTGTGTCTTTCTCTAAAATACTGTTGTGCCTTCCTTCTTCCCCTGCTGCAGGCACTTGCACAGACAATCAGACAGCAGTGGGTACTTCAGAAATAAAAGGAGATATTGAGTATTTCTCAATTCTTCTGTGTGGTTTTGCTCAAAAGATAGGGAAAATTCAAAAAATATAGAAAGTCCATTGCCTTCGAAATGGAGATTAATTCCATTTCACTTTTTACAGTATTTTAACATAAGGTTAAATAATTATTGGCTGTGAGGATTACTACTGTTCTTTTAGATTTATGGTGGAGGTTGGGCTTTGTTTTTTCTTCTTTGGAATGGGTTTATTCAAAATGCAGTGCAGTATGTGAAGGCCCGAATGCTTTTTTTCCCTAGCAATTTCAGAGAATGAAAAGACTCCTGAAAATATTTCAGTAATCTATTTAGAAATAGCATGGAACTTCTGAGTACAATTATTATAGTCAGCAACAAGCACGCAGTGTTCCTTTTCTCTTCATTTGTGTTTTCTTTTCAGAATGTGGAGGCAAAATGCACTTAAGAGAAGGAGAGTTTGAAAAGGCACATACTGATTTTTTTGAAGCATTCAAGAATTATGATGAATCAGGGAGCCCCAGAAGAACCACTTGCTTAAAATACTTGGTCCTAGCAAACATGCTCATGAAATCTGGAATAAATCCATTTGACTCTCAGGAGGTATTTTTTTTCTTTTCTTTTTCCTTTTTTCTCTGACCGCCCCCCCCTCCCCTTTTCTGAATTGATAGGAGAATTACCCAAAATATGAAAATGGAGGAAAATATTTTAAATCTAAATATGCGTATTGTGCTTTCTGTTTCTGTGTAGGCTAAACCATACAAAAATGATCCAGAGATTCTAGCAATGACAAATTTAGTAAGGTAAGATTTTCATTTTTCTGAAAAAGAGAACAAAAAAATCAAAAGACTCGGTGTCCATAAATGGAACATTTTTATACATGGCTTTTCTCTGCACAGCTAACACAGTTATTTCATAAATAATTGGGCGAATATTTATAGACTGTTTTTCTTAAGAAATTTTTATTTACTATGACATACCAAAGTATCTTTACTATACCAGGTAGGGGTACAGAAACATGTTGTTATTTTCTACTGTGCTGAATTTCTTAATGCAGTGGCAAAAACCTTATTTCTTCCTTTAAATAAAGTTGTCCCACCTTGTACTGCAACTAGTCTTTAGGGTTTGGATGATCATGAGAAGCTGAGAGGATTGACATCTTATACCAAAGCCAGTAGAATGACTGGATGCACGGATATGTCATGATTACTAAAGGAGTTTCACAATTTAGGAATACAAAACTGAACTCTCAAGTGATCTCCCCTATCCTTCAAACTTAGGTGAAAATCAACAGAAGGCTTCATCACCTCTTAGAGGCAACTGTGATGTGAGAACTTTTAGTGTATTATCAGGCAAAATAAATTGAACTGAGCTGGTTTTTGTATACTGTGCTTTGAAGCTAACCTGTTCCATCCACTCTATCCTGCCTTTGCTTTATCAAGCAAAAAAAAATGAACAATGCGTAGGAAAATTTTCCCACCTTTTCGTTATGTAAGAAGTAATGCCTGCTGACATTTTGAAATACACAGTTGATCTCATGTTGGAACAAACCTTGCTCTGATACTGCTATGGTGCTCTCCCATTGTATGCATACAAATAATTTTTGAAAGTGAGGGTGTTCATTCATTATTGACATAATGATGAATAAATGATTTGGCAGTTTATTAAGGGACTATTTCCAATAATTCCACTTTAGACATGTCTTTTCTACTTCGCTGTCATAGTTTCATGTGAATTTGAGGCAGAAGGAACTCCAGATGGCCTTACCCAATCTGATTTTATTCATAGTCCTAATTTCTATCTTTTATCTCGACATTTGAGTATAACGGATTTTTTAGAATTAATAATGCAATTAAAGCAGTGTAGATAAGAAAAATGCAGAGGATAAAATCAAGTCCAAAGATTGCAGTTACGGTTTTAATTCATATTGTATTCTACATTGTTTTACATATGATAAAAAGAAACTTCTGGAATAAAGAATAAAATACACTTAACTGAAATTCCTTTTAATTATTAAGTAAAGTTTACCGGTTTCATGTGATACAGTCCATTCCACTCCTGTAACTCCATTTTATAAACTCAAGTAATATTATGCCAGAATTAATGGATGGTTAATCCCGGAAGTCAGGATTTCTTCCATCTTCCAGTATTTTTAGAATTCGTCTTAAGATGGACATTCCAGAAACAGCAACAGCCCTCTAGACTCTTTTTAGCTCTTACTTGTTTCATAAAGTATGGCTTCATGAAGCCAAAATTCAAGTAATGATACTTTTCAAAATTGGCTATTTTTAGGGTCTAGGCTTTTTAAAATAACTTCTTAAAGTACAAAAGTTTGGAAACTAGAGTGCGCTTGTGGAATAACTAAATGTTCATACTAAACTTTTATAAATGCTACTAAAATTGAAATAGGAGAACGATCATTTCTGTTGCATCTCATCTTGAAATAGTTTTTCCTTATAAAGGTTCTGAAAATAATTATTTGCTACCAACTCTTAATACAGTTCTTTTAGAAGATGTAGAGCACAGTCTTATGAGTCTGTTTAACTTTTAAAAATAATAATTCAGAATCTTTTTTTGTTCTGAAGTGCCTATCAGAATAACGACATCACTGAATTTGAGAAGATTCTAAAAACAAATCACAGCAACATCATGGACGATCCCTTCATAAGGGAGCACATTGAAGGTATTTTTGCAGGCTATTTTAAATCCTTTTTGTTTTCACTACTTGGGTAAGCTGCCCTTTTAAATTTTTTTTTTATTTCCCCATGTTTTTTTTTTTTTCTTCTTGGCAAAGTTAGAGTTCTTTGTAAATACTTGTGAATTATTCCTTTACCATTTCCAAGTTCTTTAGAAGTTGGTCAAGGAAAACATGCATCCAGGCATGTAGAATGACTGCAAAGAATTCTAGGAACGTTGGAGAACATTCTAGCAAGAGTGGATATTCTAAGATAATATTTACGGTGGTGTTAGGCACTGAATATTTTGAATATTGTGTTGGGGTTTTTTCCATTAGAAGGATTAAATGAGGACAACCCTTACTTGTAAATGTTGTTTGTGTCAGTCCCAACAGTTAGGTATTTAATAGTTTATAAGGTTAATTTTCTGCTTCAGATTAAAGACAAAATATGTAGACAATGTAATGAAGGTTGCCTTAATAAATGTGTAGTAATAAAATATATAACAAGATACATAATTTGAGTGTATATGTTGAAAAACATGTTTGGATTTATGCTACCTACACTTAATAAAACAGGGGAGCACAGTAACACATGCTATTCCATTCTGTTAACATGACAAAATAAAGTTACCCCCTGCATTTGTCATGTATCTAAGAATTTATGTCTCTTCACTTGAATATAGTGTCCATTTTTTTCAGATAGCTACTGTTTTCATCAAAAGTAGGGTTTACTGTAGCATTGCAAGATCATTTAGCTGGATATTTACATGAAAGAAAAAGAGTGAAATCCAGAGACCTGGTTTTCTTACACTTCTTGTTTGTAAAAGAGAACATGGCAAACAGCAGGGGAAACTAAATATAACCCCTCTACTGCTGTTACATGTCGACTACTGGTAAGCTTTAAAGTCTCGTAGGGGGAGACTCGGTAAGATTAGAGAGATGGATGCTTAAGGAAGAAAGTATGACAGAACTGGAAGGCAAGAAAAGGACAGTTGAATCAAAGGATTGAAGAGAATTTGAGTTTCACCTCTTACGATAATAGTCTGCTACTGATATCCAGGGGGAAAAAAGACTTTCTCATCTTTTTCACTCCGTAGTGATACAGAATATGTGTTCATGGTTATAATGTTTACATACCTTGCCTCATATTTTTGATCTCCCTAGTTTTATTGAGATACACAAGGACCGTTTATATAATGAAAAATAATACTGAAGACCAGATTATGTAACTAGTTTGGTAAAAATGGATCTAGATCTTTTTCTGTTAATTTACGATTGTCATTCATGCTTTCATTTTATCCAGATTTTCTTGTAGCAATGTAAAAATTTCTAAAACAAAGGCTGCACTATCTTATCTAAGCAAAACCAGCCACTTTGTTGCAGGCTCTTGTTTTATACTTCTTCAGTTTCTCCTCATAATTATACCATTAGGCCCTCATCTTTTAATTAAAACGTGACTATTCTCCATGAAGTTAAATGCACACAGACAAGCTTCCTTAAAAATACGTCTTTTCACTTTTGTACAAGACAAGCATTCTAGCCATAAATTAGAGGGGCAAACATACCATGCAATAATCTGTATGATTTATCCAGTTAGTTTGAATAATTAAATTTTTTTACCAGGGAATACATTGCTCCGTGTTTAAACAGTTTTCAATTCCTATCTGTCCATCCTCAGAATTCCATGTTTGCTTGGATCCCTTTGGAAAAAAAGGGTCCCATTGTTTTGCTGTGTTTCCCCACCTCACTGAATTACTACTTAAAAGATCATGGTATTTAGGATATCTTTCAGTGTGGAGCTGTATTGCACCTTTATATCAATACTGTTGTTTTTACAGTATTTATTTTTTCTTCTCTTATAGAGCTTTTGCGAAACATCAGAACACAAGTGCTTATAAAATTAATTAAGCCTTACACAAGAATACATATTCCTTTTATTTCTAAGGTATGTGTCAGTGGAGCCTTGCATTTGTTTAAGTAAATGATTAATTGTGAATAAAAGCTCTTAAATAAATACAGTGCTTCCAGAAATAGAACATCTAAAATATAATCTAAACCATAAAGTAGTGCTGATGCGCTCCTGGCAGCTTTGCAGTGCGAAAATGTAAATTTCAAGTGTTGTCCCAATGCTTTTTATAATATATACTATAATATACTTCTAAAATATTCAATTACCATATTTTATTTGGTGTAGGAAAGCACTTTACTGAAGAGAAATATAAAAAGAGAAATTTGTATAATTCAAAATGTAATTATGAATAAATTTTATGAATATAAAAATCCAAATTTTAATTCCTTTTGTTCAAAAGATCTTCAGATGTCTGTGTTATACAAGTTACAAAACTGTGGTAATAGAACAAACCAACTATTGGACTAGAATCACTGATTTCATTCCCTAATCTGGAAAGAACAAAATTAAAAACCAGTGACAATAAATGACTGTTTCCGTCTCCTGTGAGTCTGATTTTTCTTGCAAAAATTCAAAGCATTCCAAAATATATCATTGAGTATTAAAGATGCCTATTTTTATGCTTAAATTCTCTTTAGAATTCTGTATGTTGTGGGTTTTTTAAGTTTGTAGAACTCACTTGAGTCAGAAAATGCAATTAGCCTTCTAAATGGCTTTGAGTACAGACTCTTTTCTGATAACTATTGTCTTATTTTATTTCCTTGGGGTTTTTGTGGGGTTGGGGTTG